GCCAATATTTCTGTCTGAATATATTCATGCCATAATTTTGGTCTGAATATTTTCACGCCATATTTTTTGGTCTGGATATTCTCACGCCAATATTTTGGTCTGAATTTTTTCATCCCAAAATTTTGGTCTGAATATTTTCACGCCAATATTTCTGTCTGAATTTATTCATGCCATAATTTTGGTCTGATTATTTTCACGCCAAACTTTGGTCTGAATATTTTCACGCCAAAATTTCGGTCTGAATATTTTCACGCCAATATTAAAATATTGACGTGAAAATATTCAGACCAAAATTTTGGCGTGAAAATATTCAGACCAAAGTTGTAGCGTGAAAATAATAATTTCACGCCATATTTTGGTGTGAATATATTCACGCCAATATTTTGGTCAGCTGGATATTTTCACGCCAATATTTTGGTCTGAATATATTCACGCCATATTTTGGTCGGAATATATTCACATCAAAAGATTGGTTTGAACATTTTTCATAGCTGTGTTGGCTGTACGTTTAGCTATAATTGTCAGCAATAGTGATTTTCGACATTGGCGAATAAATTTTTGCTTTATTTGCACAACCTATAACTATACTGCATAAACGTTCCGCCCATTGCTTCATTTCTGTCATCAATTGAAATTATTGGACCTATTTCCCCTCTCTTTTTTGTGACTAGACCAAAAGTAAAATTTAACTTGTTTCCAACATAACATGTTTTGTCTTTTTCTGTTTAGAAATACTATTTGCCGCCACTTTTAGGAAAATCTATTACGTTGTTACACATGTTTTGCAAAATGTGCGCATGTTTTGAAGATCTCGCTAAACCGTAAAATTACGGGACATGCTACTTTTGGCAAAAATGCCTGTGAACGTTGTGATTTCCAACGCCGGCGTTGCGAAAATCAAATATTTCCTCAAAAACTGTCCTAGACAATTGTGGATTTGGAGAAAATTAAGGATATTTTAAAGTATTATTCAAAAAAACCCTTAAATAGAATATCCCTGTTCATAATATTTCGTGTTTACGGTTCAAACAGCCAATGACTAAGTCATTGTTTTACCAAGTCCCTGCTGTTAACCAATTAACGCTGTGATCCTAATTCTGGATCACATCACACTATCAAGTATCGTGATTGGTGCGGCTCGATCTGAGAAAGCTTGCATCCTTGTGTATCCCTTATTATCCCCCTATGAATGTGGAAGAACCTCTGGTACCCAGGGTACTAAAAACATAGACCGACTAAAATTTATACGCACGAACTGAGCGCATATCTGTAAAATAGAATATATTTTCCTAACGTTGATCATAACACGTTATCGACTAAATCAAAATTTCTTTCACGGCTACCAAAAACAATCAATTGCTTCTTGGAAAAAATTGACCTGCCATTGTATTTCAGTCAGAATAATTACATGAAGGTAAATACATGTCTGAAAAAGGTGTTTTCTCTCTAGAGTGAAAAGCGCACTAGGTAGGTGTCTCAGTAGGTTGTTTGAACAATAATTTACGTGATTTTCATCTATATTCTACTTTAAAGTGCATATGGCATGAATATGATTATTTTCTTAAATGAAAGAATTAACTTTTTAAACTATTATAGAGTAATTTATTTTCCAGTTTCTCGTTTTGTGGTTTGTTCCCGAGATATTTGAATTTTTTGATATGTAAATAAGTGTGAATATGTCAGCTAATTTCATGACATCACTTTTGGTTGCAAGCTCAACTTACACTGGTTATAAATCTATTAACTCTAAAAGGTGTAGATATCAGTTTTTCTCCAGTGTTTCATTGCTTTTACCAGTGAGCGAAGTTTGAAATTATCATCTTGGATGATAGCAGTGATATTGAACCATTTCGAAGAGCTTGCCACCAACGTGACATTATAAAATAGCGGACATATTCACACTCATTTGCATATCAAACGAATTGAAATATCACGTGAGCAAATCATAAAATGAAGAAAATGAAAAATAACTTGCATTACAGTTTAAAGAGTCCTTTCATTGAAGAAAATAATCATATTCATGTCATATGCACTTTAATAAAATTTACCATGGAAACCCTAAAGGTTTTTCCGTATATGTTAGGAAAACTTGCCTAAACCTCGCACAAACGTCTGTGCTGTAATCAGAAAATCATGTAACTATAGTTCAATATGCAAGAAAATGCTGCTATCCCTTTCAGTAAAACGTTCGAAGTACAAGCTGGGAAAAATATAACGAGATTTTCTTACTATCAGCACTCATGCACTCCTTAATTCAGCGATAATTGGGAATTTGTTCACTTACATTTTTCTCGCTTGTGCTTGTAATATGTTGAGGATATCGATGATAGTACACTTTACATTCTTGAAAGGGCGCGAAGAGTTTCGCTATTTGAACCTGCTTCACCTGGAGGTATACCTTATTATAGGAAATTAACGATGCACTTTATTAACGCGGATTTCAAAAATTCGCGTTAATTTAATTAATGTTAATTTATGTTATCGTTAATTTTAAGTATGTAATTTTTATTTATCGTTAGTTAAAAAGACCTTGATTTGTTTTATGTAACACTAACTTTTCTAATATCAAAATACAGCATATTAACGTAAACTAAAAACACCAGTGCTCTTCTCAACTCAGTTCACTACCCAATTCGCGTAAATTTAATTAATTTGTCAACCATGGAGATCAGGTTCGCGTTAATATAATCAAGTTTCAAAAGACCTAGAAGCAATCCGCGTTAATTTGATGTCGCGTTAATTTATGTCGCGTTAATAAAGTGCATCGTTAATTTCCGATAATAAGGTATTTCGAAACAAAAGTTCATGCATGCACTGTGGTTTTGTTGATACTTTTAAAGCGCATATGACATGAAATTTCCTATTTTCTTAAGCGAAAGAACTCTTTAAGTTGTAGTGTAACTTATTTTTCAGTTTTTCTTTTTATGGTTTGTCCCGAGATATTTCAATTTGCTTGATATGTAAATGAATGTGAATATGTCCGATAATTTATGACGTCACGTTGGTTGCAAGCTCAACTTACACTGGTTATAAATCTATTAACTCTAAAAACTGTTGATATCTGTTCACGTTTTTCTACAGTGTTTTATCACATTTACCAGATAAGTAGAGCTCTTTCATAAAATAAGAAATTTCATGTCATATGCACTTTAAGGGTCCTTGTATGCAATCCGTTGTTGTAAATTGTATGCTATTCGCTGATTGGCTATTGTACAGTATATATGCTCGCCGGTGACTGGCTAGAAGCTAGAAAATCCACTCGTAAACTGACATAGATATAGTCCTTCGAACTGTGATAATGTTTCTACATTCACAGACACAATCATTTTATTCAGTGGTCTCCGGTGCATATTCAGTGGCCAGATTTTCAGGAATATAAAATCAAAAGTGCGATGGTTCCTTGGCTTTCTGCAACGCTCTTTGAGGTTCTCACTTACGGTAACATTTCCAGATTCTCGTGGCATGACGTAGGCATGGTTAGCTTGCAATTCAACATAGGAAAACAAGTCTTAAGACCAGTTTACACTACGCTCAATTTTTGGTACGGCACGATTAAAATTAGTGCCTGTACCACTTTTTTGGTTCCTGGACTACCTATCTAGATAGTCCAGGTACCAAAAAATGGTACGGTACCAAAAATCGAGAGTATATAATTATAGTGTAAACGGGGCTTTAGAAGTTAGAAAACCTGCTCTTTGGCTAAAAGTATTCTTTTATTTTAACACTCCCTTTTGACTGATTGAGCCAGTCTTTCTGAGAAGAAAACTTGCTATTATATGTCATAAGAAACAAGTTATTGTTGATCGATAGACTGTATTTCATCCTAACTATAAAATATATGTTATGTCAAAGTTCAAGAAGAATTCAGGATTTTTAGCTATTGTAGTGCACGTTTAAACTCATGCATGCACGCATTAATGGCGATTATCATGTACTGTACTGTATGTATCTTCTATTTAAGCTAGCTTTCATTAAATCTTTGCCTTGTACTCATTGATTTGAATAAAAGCTTAAAATACGCATTGCATGCATATGGAAATAACGGCCACTTAATTTCGATATTCAGATTTTCAATGACACAACAGAATCATCCATGCACTGGAAATTACTGTGCAATTATTTTTTTTAATCAAGAAGTATTTGAAATATTTCGGCCGTGTTGCACGCAAATATTATAGGAAACCTTATCAAATTGACATATATTTATACATTTTATCTTCAGATAAATAATATTTTAAATACAGTTAACAGAAAATACAGTACATATCAACCCGATGCCGTGACTTTTCTTGCAATTTGAGGTTCGTTCAATCATGCCAGCTTTTAGGTTTAATTGCTTTTATCAAACATTAATTCATTTAATGCAAGAATAATTTTAGTAATAAAAGGAATAAACTTTTAGGAATAATCCATGTAAATTGTCATTGAAAAGCCCATTTTAGGGAATGTCAATTAATAAATTCAAATTCAAATTTTAAATTCAAATTGAAAACAAAATTAACCTGTAATGTATACAGACTTCGAATACTTAGTGCAACTATTTTTTCGTATATATAACCTACATATTAGAATGTTAGGGTTTCTAATCCAAATGAGAATATATACATTTTAAGACCTAACCAGGAACGACTGCGCAAAATGCAGAACAGGGTCTTCTGGTAGGAATTGAACCTACGGCCCTGCGATTCCGGTGCAGCGCTCTAACCAACTGAGCTACAGAGGCCAGCTGTTGAGCTGTAACCGTAAGTTAATTTCATGTATATATAGGTAATAGGGTGTGTGGGTTGTGATAAGGCAGACTTCAATGATATGGATTTTGCACTTCACTTGGTGGAATTAATATTAGAATGTTAGGGTTTCTAATCCAAGTGAGAATATATACATTTTAAGACCTAACCAGGAACGATTGCGAAAAATACAGCACAAGGTCCTCTGGCAGGAATTGAACCTACAGCCCTGCTATTCCGATACAGGCTCTAACCAACTGAGCTACAGAGGCCAGCTGTTGAGCTGTAACCGTAAGTTCATGTACAGTATATATACGTAATCGGGTGTGCGGGTTGTGATAAGGTGGACTTGAATAACTTAAATTCTTGCACTTCACTTGGTGGAATTAATATTAGGATGTTAGGGTTTGTAATGCAAGTGAGAATATATACATTTTAAGACCTAACCAGGAACGACTGCGAAAAATGCAGCACAAGATCCTCTGGCTGGAATTGAACCTACGGCCCTGCGATTCCGGTGCAGCGCTCTAACCAACTGAGCTACAGAGGCCAGCTGTTGAGCTTTAATTAACCGTAAGTTCATGTATATTCTGTAGGTAATCGGGTGTGCGGGTTGTGAAAAGGTGGACTTCAATAATTTGGATTATTGCACTTCACTTGGTGGAATTAATATTAGAATGTTAGGGTTTGTAATCCAAGTGAGAATATATACATTTTAAGACCTAACCAGGAACGACTGCGAAAAATGCAGCACAAGGTCCTCTGGTAGGAATTGAACCTACGGCCCTGCGATTCCGGTGCAGCGCTCTAACCAACTGAGCTACAGAGGCCAGCTGTTGAGCTTTAACCGTAAGTTCATGTATATTTAGGTAATCGGGTGTGCGGGTTGTGATAAGGTGGACTTCAATAATTTGGATTCTTGCACTTCACTTGGTGGAATTAATATTAGAATGTTAGGGTTTGTAATCCAAGTGAGAATATATACATTTTAAGACCTAACCAGGAACGACTGCGAAAAATGCAGCACAAGGTTTCTGGTAGGAATTGAACCTACGGCCCTGCGATTCCGGTGCAGCGCTCTAACCAACTGAGCTACAGAGGCCAGCTGTTGAGCTTGAACCGTAAGTTCATGTATATTTAGGTTATCGGGTGTGCGAGTTGTGATAAGGTGGACTTCAATAATTTGGATTCTTGCACTTCACTTGGTGGAATTAATATTAGGATGTTAGGGTTTGTAATCCAAGTGAGAATATATACATTTGTATGTTCTCACTTGGATTAGAAACTATTCTCATTTGGATTACAAAATATATACACAAAATATATACATGTACTATACATTTGTATATTCTCACTTGGATTACAAAATATTCTCACTTGGATTACAAAATATATACATGTATATATTCTCACTTGGTTTACAAACCCTAACATTCTAATATTAATTCCACCAAGTGAAGTGCAAGAATCGAAATTATTAATTTCAAATGCCCCGCCGGGGCTAAGGTTCGAGTGGAAATACCCAACCCCCGGGATGTGCTTTGCAGGAAAATGGCTGGGCGAGGGGGATGGGCACACTTGGATTTGGCTGATGCATTAAAAGTCATGGAAAAAGAAAAAAACTTTTCATATTGCTACTATAAAATGGCTCATTGTGCTTATTCCTGTGCTTATTCCAGACTGCTTGTCAAATATTTACTTGCTAGAAGTAGAAATTTACTCTGACCACTGGATGAAGAAGACATTAAAGGACAATGGCAACAAATTTTTTTATTGTCTGTATTTATTAAGCTTACTAATGGAATACTTAATTTCATATTTTTGTTTGTCTATTGCATTTAGTTGTTCAGATAATTTGCGAAAATGTTTAACAAATTTTAGCAGTCGTCCGCCATCTTGGGAAAATTCCGCGTATGCTAATTTATGCATGAATACATTTCGTGACGTAGATGGCAGGGTAAACGCAAATCCCGCAGTATAAGTTACACTGTAACAACGTTGAGATTTGGAAGAAAATGTTTTCACAAAAAATACAAATACGTTGCAACGTGTATTCATAGTTCAATAATGTGTAGCAGCTTACTACCAATGGTCTGTGACTGTGTTTTCGACAGTAAGCGTATATTTGCGTTGTAAAATGCGCTTAGACATTGACTCCGGTTATGGTAGTTCTGCATGCTGTTCCAATTACATATATCATATATTCCAAATGTATGTATATATGTATAGCATATACATTTATGTATGTGCATGCTCTGTTGCAGAAATATAGAAATAATTTGCATTGAAATAAAAGATTCTACTGAGTATTTAGTGTTTCAAAGTGTTGTTATTATTATTAATACAAAAATAATTCAACCATTTAACTGGCGGAACTGCAACAATGTTGCAGTGGGTAATTCTAGCTTCAGATTTCACAACTATTAATTGTTTTTAAAACTAAGCAGGCTTTCAAACGACATTGCTATGCTAGTGAAATAGCTGTTATCTCACAAACAAGATTTGCCTCTTCTGTAATGTGTAGTGTCGCGCAAGTTAGACATTGCGCAATTTAGTAAATTGACATTCAAGGTCAGTATGGGATTTTCCCAGACAAGAGTTAAGTGTAAGATAACTATAATCTGGTTATATGTTGTGATATTATTTTTACATGTAGTTTTACTTGGTTCTCATTTTATATAGGCAAATATATGCATGTACTGTAGTGTATAGTTCCCAATATTATCGATATTTTCATTGTTATGTAAAATACCCTAAATTCACGTGTGGGAATATATATATATATCACCGAAATTGTAAATATTATATATAGTCAGCTCTGAGCACGGCTTGAATAACGAAAATATCTAGATTGTTCATGTAAAACGTAATGTGCACTGCAAAACGTGTATTGCCGTCTACGGTTGTATAAATAGTGACAGCCAACACACAAGTGAAATCTGTTTCTTCAATTTTCCAAAGGGCAAATCGGTAGATCAGCAATATAGGAGAAAAGCGTGGATTGAATTCTGTATAAGCGCAAAGCATTAAACTATCGTCACGACGATGTGACTAGAATATATGCTCACTTCATTTTGCCGAAGACGCGTATGAACAAGGACAGTCGCCAAAGTTTTTAGAACGAATACAATGCAATGAACCCAGCGGGCAAAATGACGTTTATCTAACGTTGAATCAACGTTGGAAAAGACCTTCCAGTGGAAGTTCCAGACGTTGGATAGACGTTGAAAAAGGGTTGACTATGCAAATTGGATCGACGTTACTGTTTCGACGTTACTGTTTCGACGTTGAAACAACGTTGAAATTAGGTTGCCAATCTCGTCAACCATAATTCAACGTTGAATCCACGTTAAAACAACGTTGAGATTGTTTCACAAATCGACGTCGTACATTTAATCATGAATGAACGTTAATTCAACGTCTGTTGGCTGCTGTTAAACCAATGTTTGTAAAACAACGTCAGAGCAACGTAGATATTAGGTTGTCGACGTCGCAACCTTTTTTCTACCAAATTTCAACGTTGAAACAACGTCGTGTGCCCGGTGGGAAACGTTTAGAATACAATTGAAAAGGGAAGCGTTGCCAAGTAATAACTTTACTTACAGTACATACTAGCTTCAATTGCGGTATACTATTTTTTACAATGGATTGACATAAAAAGACGCAAAACAGCGCACGCGGCACGCATTATACGCGTGCACCTAATATACAATATTTTACGGCATGGTCTACATTCAATACACCGCTGAAAATAAAAGAAATCCATTTAATAAATGATTATAAGTAAACCACAAACCAAAGGTCCAAGACGCATGTAGAGGTCCTATATTTATACCAGTCCCAAAATTAAAATATTGCTTGTTTTTCTCCTACTTCTGGTTCATATTGGTATGATAACACTTCTCCTACTTGGTTCTCGTGAATATTTGCCATTAAAATGACTCAAAAGCATTAATTTTTTGAGAAAACGTATTAAATCTCGATACACGCTATACAAAAATATATTGTTGTTTTGATTCTACCCTGCCATCTACGTCATACGGGTCATACTACCCAAAAGATAATTTTTCGCAAATACGAAGATGGCCGACGATATATAAATTAACAGTGAAATAACATGCATATAACTCCTGAACAAAAATGTTTGACACGGTATTAATATCATATTTATAGTTAGATGAAGCAACACTTTTAATATAGACAATAAAAAATTTTGTTGCCATTGTCCTTTAAATAAGTACTGGTCAATAAATAGAAATGTATTTTATTTCATAGTATTACAATTTTATTTTTATACTATAAAAATAAAATATAAACATGCGGCATAGAATATGCAAATTCGAGGCAATATTATTGTTGAATCGGTTTATT